CAAACTTGTTTCCTTCCTTGTACTCGAGTGCAGATTGATGTTGATCTGACGATGATCTCCAACTGGTTTGCACTGCACAGGCATAGTGATGATGATCTCCAACTGGTTTGCACTGCACAGAAGCCGTCTCACGCTTCAGACATCAAAGTATCTGTATCGACCCAAAACTCATCGACTGTCACTATCAAACCTTAGTGTTTCCTATAATTTGCCCAGTCACATTTCTGTTCAGTGGCTCGGTTCTGGAGAATTCTCACCATGATTTTGCGGTGTCTGAAATGAAGTGGGGCTGGCAGTCACGGTTTTAGATGACAATCTTACACGCCATTGTGTACTGCTTCGCTAGGTCGAGGAACTTAGAGAACACCTGCACTGATGGGCCTGTGGGCAGCACTGACTGTACACGTTATCTGTCTGTGTGTGTGTACGTACTTTCAAAGGCGGTCACCCAAAAGGACTAGACGCCGTATCTTGTGCTGTAGCTATAGTCTAAATGCCTACAAAATATAATGATGCCCCCTAGTAGTGATACAAATATCGATTTCTCCCAACTTTGTCTATCAAAATGATGAGGACTCTTTTGTGAACGTCACGACAGCAAATCGGCAAGACTGGTGGCCAATTTAGAGAGGTGGTCGCTCTGGAAAGTTATGTCGTTAAGCCACCGAGCCAATTTTAACTGGGAGACCCACCTACGACTGGAACTTTTGATGGTCTTTACTGCGTTTTAAATCGTTTCTTCCCTTTAATATTGGCATTCTTCAGGATTTTCACAAGAGTGAAACAATAAAACGACATTTTCGTAAAGGAAACTACTCACAAGGTTGCTGAAAACTCTTCGACAGCGCACGACCGGTTTCGCCCTTCTTGAGGCTCATCAGGTAGGCGCAGTCCTCGAGTTTCCATCAACCTTATGGTCTACTTGAACCCAACTGGGACTGTTATCGAGAAATACACTCATTTGCAAATCAATTTGGTCCCCACGATAGACTCAACTGAATCTCTCCTTTCTGATATTCTACAACTGAATGTGCTGCACACAGGCCGCCTCATGATTTAGTTGGCACGATATTCGAGATATCGCCTGTGTGTAGCACATTCAGTTGTAGAATATCAGAAACGAGGGTATCAGTTGAGTGTATCGTGAAAACCAGATTGATTTGCAAATGGGTGTGTTTCTTTAAAACGACCTTGTTTATCCAATTTTCCACAAGCTTTGATTCTACGCAATCCCAACCAAATCATTGATTGCACTTTAGCACGGTGGACACTAAATGACTCTTGCGTAACTATAGAATGGATTTTTCCGTTCCTTTGACTGTGGCACCCCACGTGAACTGCCTTGCTCTAAATTTGTGAGATAACGTAGAATCGGAAGCAAAAAAGACCAATGTGAGCGAAACTCTAGCGTACGTTGTTGAACTGGTGGAATGGACCAATCAGAGTAGGACGCGACGTCGTGCAAGCTAGGGCTTCAACCAATCCTATTACTGCGTAAAATTTTGCATTTGACGTGTCGCTTGTACAACGTCAGCAGCTCGTGTCGAATGAATGATTCACAAAACTATGTGGATGCTCAGGGTTTTTCGTATTTTATGTAACACAAGTGGAAGCGGCGAGCTTGCACTGCACGTGAAACTATGTAACAATCGAGGTACTGTGTGAGCACGGATCGGCAGTACGTTTCGGTTTGGTGAACAGAAAACTGGGTAGACAAGTGTTGCCTGTGGGTGTGTGTAGACTTCTGTGGTTATATCATTTCGTTCGGTATACCAACAGTCATTTGGTATACCATCATACTACGGTCACTTCCAAACGATGTATTGGTAAGACGCTTGCTATCGAATTGTATGGGTCAGTGAACAAACCAACGGCTATCTACGTTGTCTGAGCTACCAGCATTCTCCTGAATAGCACACAGTCAGTTGTGATGTATAGCAGGCGTGGAAGACCTGTGTAGGAACAATGTCACTCCACAAACAGTATGTGAATGCACCCCCTATTCTGTCCCTCGCTGCACTCCTTGGATTCTCTTGCGATAACTCACCTCACGTGGCCAAATGGACGTCAAACAAATAACTGATGTGCTGACAAAGTTAACAATAGGAATACAGGACTAACACGCAGATGCGTGTTACTTCCAAACTGCGCATGAAATCAACGTGACACTGCCTACATAATGAAGGGCATAAAGGGGAAGGCACTAATTTGCAAATCAATTCGGTTCTACAACTGAATGTGCTGCACACAGGCGATATCTCGAATATCGTGCCGACTGAAACATGAGGTGGCCTGTGTGCAGCACATTCAGTTGTAAAATATCATAAACGAGAGATTCAGTTGATTCTCTCGTGAGAACCAAATTGATTTGCAAATTTGCGTTCAAGTAGAACATAAGGTTGACTAGACCTCGGGGACTGCGCCTACCTGGTGAGTCAGCCCCAACAAGGGCGAAACCGGTAGTGGTCTGTCGAAGAGTTTTCAGCAACCTTGTGGGTAGTTTCCTTTATGAAAAGGCATAAAGGGGACTTTAAAACTGGATTAAAAAGCAGTGGACTTATTGTCAGGACGCGTCCCGAAATGAAAAAAGTACATGTGCAGAGAGCGACGCGTCCCCAAGGTCACCAACGGTTGCACACGTTCCGGATAGCAGGTGCATTGGTGGAGCTTACCAAACACGGCTTAGCAGCATGCGACCAGCGGAGTGGGTGTGAATTTGCTCACTCCAGGAACGTCGCGATTGACTGTAAACGAACAAACAAGTGAATCACCATATTTGGCCATTTAGTCATCCTACGTATTTCGCAGAAGCTCTGTATGTTTGTCTTGACACTATAGCCACGTTCCGACACTTTAAGCTATCCCAGACAAAGCGGAACAAGAAATCAAGTGCCCACTGTAGCAAGCGATGACGCAGAGACAATACACGTCCATGTCGGTGGAAAGCGTAGATTCGTGCGAAAATCCGAGTGTGCATGCTCCACCTTAGTCAGATTGCTAGAATGACCTGATTAGTGATGGCTCTGTGAAGTAGATGTTCTACCGTTAAAGCTCTATCAGAAAACCTTCATGAATGGCCGGATAACAACAGTAGGAGACGGTTTTTGCGGAACGGAAATTGTTTGAACGCTCTTGTCAACCTTAGTAGTAGTAACTAGCAAACAAATGTGCAAGTGTAATTTCAAATCCTAACTGTAAGACCGTAAACATTGTGTAACCGGGTGGATGCAGCACCTGACTCAGTTCTTTTGTTGAACACAGACGGATATGCACTGCTGATGAGCTCTAATAAGAGCGAAACTCGAGTCCAGTGCTTCCCTTTGGTGTGGACTCACCGGAATAATAACGCCAGAACGGGAACACGGCCGCTCAAACGAGAGTGGTGTGTCTATGAACAAAATACCTATCCCGCAAAACCCAAAAATTGCAACGAAAAATCTGCCCAGTGGGTTTCAAGCGTGTGCCACGCTACCTGACTGGAAAGTCCTGACTGGCGGGTCACTCGATCGTCACAACGAGGAAAGTTACTGGGCCGTCGTTCGATGAGTCGGGCACACCA